GGGTGGGGTGGGGGCACAACGGGGGAGCCTGGGCCCCACTGAACCCCCAGGGACACAGTGCATGCTGGGGTCCCCAGGTCAGTCGAGGATGCACGGATCGTACCCTGTCGGGGGGCTCCAGCCGTCAGCACAGGGGCCCTGGTGGATTTGGGTTGCTTGAGCGGCCGCGGGCTCTTCTTCCTGGAGTTGTTCTGTGGGCTCCCAGCTGGGCGGGGGGCTGGGAGAGACAGCAGGCAGAGCGCAGTTGGTGGGGAGCTGTGCATCCTCCCGCCTGGGGGCCTGGACTGTGCTGCCTGAGAGAATCCCTGAGGGTGTGAAGGGGGCTGTGACGGGGGCCCCTCCAGGTGGTGAAGCCGGTGTCCCTGTCTGTCCCCTGGGAGATAGCAGCGCAGAAGTCCCCTCACAGCTGGAAGCGTGGCCAGGGCAGACTCACCGTGGGTCACAGGAGGCTCCTCAGAGCCAGGGCTCAGCTCCCCAGACAGCCCCGGCCAGGAGTCCCCGTCCAGGATCGAAGGTGGATCGTCCCCGTCCCTGGAGTTGGCCACACGCTGACCTGCGGGATGGCACAGGAGCTTGGCAGGGGCCCCCCCAGACCGAGGCAGGCACCAGCCCCCCCAGGCAGTGGTCAGCTGGGAGTCCCAGAGGGAGACACCTGGTTTTGGAGGGGGTGTCAGGGGTGGGGGTGCCCGGACTTCTAGGTCCTCCGAGTCCCTGGGTCACATCTGTAGAAGTGCCCTGAAGGAGGGTCCAGGGCCCCTCACCTGCACAGACGACGCCCGCGTCCTCCTCGTGGGAGCAAATGTGGGCCTTCCAGCCGCGGTGGGAGCAGAGCCCCAGCTGCCCCTCACTGCCCCGGCAGGCCAGCTCACTCAGCCACACGGGCCCCGCGCCCTCCCCGAAGAAGGCGCCTCCGGGGGCGGCCAGCGCGCCCCCACAGCCCAGCTCGCGGCAGGCCACGGCGGCGTCCCGCAGGTCCCATCCGTCGTCACACACCGTCCCCCAGCGGCCGCCGTGCCACACCTCCAGGCGGCCGGCGCACCCGTGGGGGCCATCAGCCAGACGCAGCCGCTCTGGGGGGACAGAGGAAAGGCTGGGACGTCCAGGAGGCCCAGGGCCCAGGAAAGGCGGGGCCAGAGGCTGGCCTGCAGCGTGCGGTGCGAGGCCAGCCGCCCTGGCCGCTGCCGGGGGCCCAACTCCTGGGTTCCCAGGGGAGCAGGGGCCCCACAGGAAGTGGGAGGTTGGTCAGCGGTGGTTCTGGGGGGAGCAATGCCCGAGGTCATAGGTGCCCGCGGGGCCGCTGGGGTCCCCCTGGAGGGTGAGACTGGGCAGGGGTGGGTTGGAGCTGGGCAAGGCCAGACAGAGGTGCTCAAGGCCACTTACCAACAGCCTGGATCCCCATCAGAGCCACTGGAAGGGAGGTTGGAGGGGTAGGGTAGAGTGAGGGCAGGCCCCAAGGGGGTGCTTTCTCCTTGTCTTAAATACTCTCTCTCACACACACACACACACACACACACACACACAATCTGCACATCTCTGAACCAGAAACCCCACCGCTGGGAAGCAGGACTCTGGGCAGTGGACTGGGCAAGACTCAGGTCCCTGAGACGGGCGGGGCCCCACATGCCTGGGGTCAGAGCTGGGAGCCAGGCCCTTTGTGCTCCCCCAAGGGCCTGGTTAATGTCAAATGGTGAGTGACCCCCCCCTCGGGGTCAGGGCGGGTGGTGGGGGGGTGGGTAGTCCCTGGGGTCCTCAGAGGGTGGGACTGGGTGTGCAGAGGCTGGGTCCCTTGGGGGATCAGGCAAGGAAGACCAGATGTCCCTTATCACAAGCACCAGGGACAAGGCCCCGGAAGTTGGACTTGCTCAAGGGTATGAGCTCAGGGGTCAGAGGTCCCTGAGTCCCCAAGAAGAGGGGGTCACTCACCGATAAGGCAGGCCCAGACCCTCATGTTTGCAGACTCCAGGGCAGGGATGGGGTGAAAGGGGACGTGGAGCAGAAGAGGGGAGGAGGCTGCGGCCACCGGAGGGAGGGAAGGAGAGAGGGAGGGAGGGAGGGAAGCGCCTGCCAGAGGCGCCCTGGACCTGGAAGAAGCAGCAGGCCGTGGCTGGACGCCTTGCCAGAAGGAAGAGAGGCTGCCTGCCGAGGAGGCAGCAGGGGACAGGAACGGGGGCAGGGAGGGGGCTGGCCGGCAGCTGAGTTCTGAGGAGGAGGGGGGTGGTGGCGGGGAGGGAGGGTGTCCAACTGCAAACTCCCACGGGGAGCCAGGGAGCCGCCAGGCCAGGCGCCCTGCGGTGCTTAGAGATGCTGAGGGGAGGGTGGGCGGGCTGCAGGAAAGGGACCGGACAGAGGCACGCAGGGGCAGCCACCCTCTGCCTCCTCTGTCCAGCCAGGGGACATGGTGAGACCAGGGTGGAGCGGAGGGAGCGTGCATTCAAACCAGCAGCAAGACGGCTTACAGCCAGACACCAGGAAGGACTTCCTGATTGGGAAAGGAGATGGAGGAAGCCCTCTTGGTTGGCCCTGGTGGGGCTGAACGCAAACCCTTCAGGCCTCCAGCTGAGGGAGCACTGGGTGAACCCCAGGGAAACTGTGGAGTGGGGGGGCCAGGCGGACTAAGCGCTGAGTCCTGGGTGAGGGTGGGGGACTCCACACACACACACACACTCACACGCATTCCCCCCCCCCCCACTCTGCACCAGGCAGCTGTGAGGTGGAAAAATTCGGTAATGGGGACCGTGAGTCAGAGGGCTGGCAGGGAGCGGGGCTGCCGTGAGCTCATTGCCTCCCCTTCTCCCTGTCCAGCACCCCCAGCAATAATTAATGTCAAGTCGGGGAAAGGAGAAGCCAGACAGAAGGGGGAGGGAGGCTCAGGGACAGACTGGAAAAGACATCAGAGAGAGAGAGAGAGAGAGAGAGAGACGGCCGCACAGCAGTTTCAGGCTTTATTAACAATCGGGTGTAAAAAACCAGATGGGTCTGGCCGCCCCTCTTGGCCCACCTTCCGGGGAGGGGCCTGGCGTGGGCAGCCCTGTGCCCACCCCACCCTTACCAGGGCCTCTCTCTGGGCGGACTACCCTCCTCTGCAAAGGCTCTGCTCATCCCCTCCAAGCAGTCATCAAGCCCCTCCCCATTCCCACGAGGGCCTTGTCCCCATTTGGGGTGCCCCTGCCATAAGTCCTAACCCATGGGGCTGGGCCCCCTCTCCTCCTCCCCACATCTCTCTCCCGGGCTCAGGCCTGGAGCACAAATGGTGCAACCTTTGCAGACAGACTGAGGAGATGTCTCAGTGCAGACACAATCTGGGGCGGGGGGCTGGACAGGTTGACCTCTGTGAAAAGTTCAAACACTACAGACAGACATCAGCCTGCAGTGGGGTGTCTTGCCCTCTGCAGGCCTGCCTCTGGGCCCCGGGCAGGCTGGGGATTCCCAGAGGGAGAACCCACATACAGTAGTCACTCACTAAGTGCTCTCCCTCCTGCCAGGGTCTGGAGTCACAGGTCCTTGCTGAACTCCCTCACGAGGGTGTAGCCCATGCAGCCCCAGCTCCCCGCAGCCTGGTAGCCACACCCCTCCAGCATCCCCGCCACGCCCCATGCTGCCACAGCCACTGGGACCACAAGCCGGGCCCGGGGCTCCCCCATGCCTCCCGCCCAGGCCCGCGCCCGGGATTCGGCGAAGGCCAGCAGCCGCCTGCCCACACCTCGGCGGCGGTGCCATCGAGAGACAGAGAGGCGGGTGACCCGGGCGCCGTCCCCAGCGTTGGAGCCTGGGGCCAGGGCCAGGACGCCACACACATCACCCGAGCTGCGCACTGCCACCCAGGGGCCCCCCAGGCCGCCTGGAGGAGGCAGTGAGCCCCACCGGGCCCGCAGGCCCAGCTTCATGGCAGCCACAGCCAGGAACACGGGCAGGAGGAGGGCCAGGGCGAAGGAGGCCAGGACAAAGCGCAGGCCGCTGCTGGCTGCTGCGAGGAGCAGCAGGGCCGGCGGCCGGGTCAGGGCGTGGAGGGCCACGCGGTTCTCCGTGTCCTTCACACCAGCCTGCGGGCAGAAGGAGCCGTCAGAGCCGGGGGCCTGGGCCTTCCGGCACATAGGGACCCCGTGCCATCAGACGTCGGGGAGAGGGGAGGGGGTGGGCCCAGGCAGGGGCGGAGGGGTGGGAGCTCCCAGAGGAGAAGGGAAGGCGATGTGATGGGGCCTGCGGCCAAGGAACAGGCAGGGAACAGGACCAGTCTGCTCTAGGCTCCAGTAAGCAGAACGTCCCGCACACTGGGCCGCGAGCGAGTGAGGGAATCAGGAACTGTGCCACACGCCCGATCCAGGGGAGCTGCAGGGAAGGCTGAGGCCACAACAGGACAGAGGACTGGCCCAGTTCAGAGCAGGCGCATGCTCTGGACACCAGGAGGTGGCACTGGGGGGCGGGGGAGACCCAGCGCCAGGCTGCGGCCCAAGGGCTCTGCTGAAAGAGTGCTGGGGAGGAGGCTGGCGCAGGGGGGGCGGGCTGAAGTCTGCAGAGGAGGGAGGGAGCTGGTGCCGCGCTCATCTCACAGCCCTCCAGCTATTAAAACTTTTATTTTTAGTAATCTCTACATCCAAACTGGGGCTTGAACTCACGACCCCGCCGTCAAGACTAACCAGCCACGAGCCCCTAAAACCTTTCTGACCCTAGGGGTAGGAAGAAGGCACTAGGAAAAGAAGGGACCGAGCCAGAAAGCCTGTTAGGAGGAAAAGATCAGGTTCCAGGAGTCCGGGCTGGCTCAGGCAGGTGGCTGGAGCCGCTCACGACGTGGCCCCGCCTGCTCTCACCTTCAGCATCTCCAGCACCAGGGGTTTCTCGTCTTCCCTCATCTCCCGCACTGACAGGTGGCCGGGGGCCATGGCAGCCCCCAGGCTCCCGCGCCCCCGAAGGCAGCAGGAGTGCACCTGGTGGAAACAAGCAGGCCAGCGTCAGTGAAGGGCACCTCTCGTCCCCACAGCGCCCCAGACATGGGGACCAGCAGCAGCATGGTCCAGATGGGGACACCGGGAACGCTCGGGTCCCCCGAGCGAGGTCCCAGGCAGGACGGGATTCACCCTCCACCCGCGACCTTTCTAAAATCTCCCGGACCCCCCCGCTCTGCCCGCCGCGGTGGTCAGCGAGTTCCCCCTAAAAGCCCTGCGGACGCCAGCACCCTGCAACCCGGGGTTCCCTCCCAGGCTCCGGGGCTGCCCTGGGGAGTCAGCGGAACTCCCACCCAACAGCCAGGGCATGGACCACGCTCCCGGCCCCCCAGGCGTCCCCGACCCCCCTCGCAGGAGCAGGCACCGCAGGAACCTCGGCAGGTCGCTTCAATCCTTCCACCAGATGTGGGGGCAGCAGGGTCGGGAAGGGGTCGCCTGCGGAAGTGACGTCACACCGCGCACGGAGGGGGGCGGGGTCCGCACCCTGCCTTAGCAACGGTTGCCAAGCGTCCTGGCTGGGGTGGGCGGGTGGCGGGACTCCGGGCGCGGGTCGGGGAGGGACCGGAGCAAGGAGCAGCGACCCCGCCAGGGCTGGGGTAGAGGGAGGAGACGCAAGCGGACGCGGGACGGGGCGGGGCCGGAGGGGATGCGGACGGCTGGTCGGGGCAGAACGGTACTTACCCGAGCCGCAGGGGAGAAGCGCACGTTCGCTTCCTGACCTTCCCTGGTTGCTAAGCAAGCTGAGAGGCGGGTGGGGGGCGGTGATGGGAGCACATCAGTTCTCATTGGCTTGGGGGGGCCTTCGCGGGAGGGGCCGCATCCTGGGCTCACTAGTTCCCAAACTCCCGACCCCAGGAACCTCCACCCCAACCCACCTGGGCTCTCTCTCAGGCACCTTCGGGATAAGGATTCCCACCCACCCATTTTTCAGACGAGGGGAGAGGTGGGGTGACTGAGCGCACAAGTGGCAGAACCAGGATTCTGGACCCCAGCTCCTCCCCACCACAGTGACCCCCGCAGCCCTTTTTTAAGGATAAACAGAACCTCACGTAGGAGAAGTGGCTGGCCCCAACCGCAAAGTCAGTCACCTGAGAGCCAGGAAGCAAGAGATACAAGACTCCAAGCTCCCAAGCGGTGGCTATGGCCCTGACATTCCCCCCACCCCGGCCGCCCCCAAGAAAACAAAACACGGGAGAGGAGATTCCGGTCTTTATTAGCAAGCCCAGCCGGCAGCTCCCCTCCCCCCACCCCCTAGCCCAGCCCAAGCAGTGAGTCCGGGTCTCCGTGTCGGGCAGAAGAGAACCCAGTGGTTCTACTCAAAATGTGTGCACCAGCTGGACTGCGGGCAGAGTCTGGACAATCTGGATGGAGGGCAGGCCCTGCGGGGTCATGCCTCCAGGTGCAGCGCCAGTGGGCACCACTTGTACCATCTGGGAGGGAGGAGCCGTGGAGATGCCCACTGGGGCAGAGGCTTGGCCAGGTGGTGGTGGGGTCAGTAGCTGCAGCGTGGCAGTGCCTCCCCCACCACTGCTATTCTCGAGCAGTTCCGCGGCTGGCGCACTGCGGATGATGAGCAGTTTCTGTCCCGGTGGGCCTGGGGCAGGAGGCTCGGCCAGCCCAGGGGGTAGGGTCTCTACCTCCTGCACACACAGCTGGGTCTGCTCCCCATCTGCCCCGCTCAGCACCAGGACGCTCTGCAACCCCTCGTCTGTCTGCAGCGTCTCAAAGAGCACATCCTGGACAACACCAGTACTGGCCTCACCATCACCTGGCTCCCCCGGGCCAGGACCCGCCAGCAGCTCCTCAGCTGTACCACTCTGAACCACCAGCAGATTGGGGGCCTCAGTGGTCACAGCTCCCCCACTGGGATTGGACAGCTGGCCTGCCACAGGCTGGAGCTGGACGGTGGTCACTTCCTGAGCCGGCTGGAGCTGGACCGTGGTCACCTCCTGGGCCGGCTGGAGCTGAACAGTGGTCACTTCGGGGGCTGGCCGGAGGGGCTGGAGCTGGACCCCACCCACTTCCTGTGCCCCTGCCTCCCCACTCCCTACATTCTGTAGAACGATGAGGCTCTGCCCTCCCCCGCTGGCCCCTGCGTTGCCCCCTCCCTGAACCCCCAGTCCCCCAGGACCTGGCAGCCACACTACTCCAGGCCCCTGACCAGATTTCCCTGCTGCCCGTGGGCCCTGCCTTCCGCGGCTGCCCCCAGCACCAGTACTGGAGGAGGGTAGTAGGATGAGCTTGGGGGGAGCCGGTGGGGGCGGGGGCGTAGGGGGCTGGACGCTGCTGGGGATAAGCTGGAGGCCCTGGGCGGTCTGCACCAGGAGAAAAGTCTGGGAGTTTGGGGCTGCCTGGCCTGGGGGCGGGGCCGGGGTCGGGCCCCCTGCCACCTCGAGGGAGAGCGTGGCCTGGAGGTGCGGGAGAACGTGGACGTCTTGGGTGGCGGATGGGGCTGGGGCAGCAGCCAGCGGGGCAGGGGGCTGGGAGCCGGCTGCGGGGGCTGCGGGGCAGGCAGCCGTGGGGACGGGGGCGTGCGTCCTCAGGTGCCGCTGCAGGTAGGCCGCCATGACAAAGCTGCGGCCGCAGATCGGGCAGGCGAAGGGGCGCTCCGCCGAGTGCGTGCGCTGGTGCAGCAGCAGGTTGGACGAGTGCGTGAAGGTCTTGGGGCAGAGCGGGCAGCGGAAGGGCCGCTCGCCCGTGTGCACGCGCTGGTGCTGCCGCAGGTTGGAGGTCTGCGCGAAGCTCTTGCCGCACACGCCGCAGGCGTGGGGCCGCTCGCCCGTGTGCACGTGCCGGTGGCGCCGCAGGCACGACGTGTTCCGGAAGGCCTTGCCGCACTCCCCGCAGGCGTAGGGCCGCTCGCCCGAGTGCAGCCGCAGGTGGTACTGGTAGTGCGAGGACCACTTGAAGGTGAGGCCGCACTGGCCGCACGTGAAGGCCCGCAGGCCCGTGTGCACGCGCTGGTGGATGGCCAGCAGCGACGAGCGCTTGAAGGCCTTGCCGCACTCGCCGCACTGGTAGGGCCGCTCGCCCGTGTGGTCCCGCAGGTGGTAGCGCAGCCCCGAGGAGCCCTTGAAGGCCTTGCCGCACTCGGCGCATTTGTAGGGCCGCTCGGCACAAGCCGGCGCAGGCGCGGGCGCGGCGGGGGCTGCTGGGGCCAGGGGCTCCTGGGGACAGGTGACCTCGGCGGCCTCCGCCTGGGGGGGCGGGCGCCCTGCCGCCGCCTCTTCCACGTGGCACTGCTGGTGCGCCAGGAGGCTGGCCAGCTGCGGGAAGGCGCCGTCACAGCTGCCACAGCGGAACGCCTGCCCGCCGGCCGCCCCGTGGTTGTGCTGGTGGCGAGAGAGGCCGGCCACCGTCCGGAAGGACTTCCCGCACGGGAGGCAGGCGAAGCCCGGGGCGGCGGCGGCAGGCGGGGGCTGCGGCGGCGGGGCCGGCGGGGACTGGGAGGGCGGCGGGGCGGGGTCTGCCTTGGGCGCCGTGGTGGCATGCCCGTCCCGGGGCGGGGTGGCTGCCTCGGGCCCGGGGCAGGGCTGGTGCTCGAGGAGCAGCTCCTCGCTGCCGAAGCCCAACTCGCAGCCCTCGCAGCGGTACACCAGCTCCACCGTGGTCTCTGCCGCGGCCAGGAAGAGCTCGGGCACCACGGGCGGGGGCGCAGGCGGCGGCGGCGGCGCGGGCGCGTGCAGGTAGGCGTCCGACACCAAGACCTTGGCGCTGGGCTCGTGCTGCGGCGGGGGGGGGGCGGCGGCGGCGGCGGCGGCGGCGCCGTGCGTGCGCTGGTGCAGCAGCAGGTTGGACGAGTGCGTGAAGGTCTTGGGGCAGAGCGGGCAGCGGAAGGGCCGCTCGCCCGTGTGCACGCGCTGGTGCTGCCGCAGGTTGGTGCTCTGCGTGAAGCTCTTGCCGCACACGCCGCAGGTGTAGGGCCGCTCGCCCGTGTGCACGTGCCGGTGGCGCCGCAGGCTGGACGAGTTCTTGAAGGCCTTGGGGCAGTCGGGGCACGGGTAGGGCCGCTCGCCCGTGTGCTGCCGCAGGTGGTACTGGTAGTGCGAGGACCACTTGAAGGCCAGGCCGCACTGGCCGCACGTGAAGGCCCGCAGGCCCGTGTGCACGCTGCGGTGTATCTGCAGTAGCGAGGAGCGCTTGAAGGCCTTGGGGCAGTCAGGGCACTGGTAGGGCCGCTCGCCCGTGTGGCCCCGCTGGTGGTAGAGCAGGGCGGACGAGCCCTTGAAGGCCTTGGGGCAGTCGGGGCACTTGTAGGGCCGCTCGCCCGTGTGCGTGCGCTGGTGGTGGAGGAGCCGGGATGACCACCGGAACGACTTGCCGCACTCCCCACACTCATACTGGGCTGTCGGGGCAGGGGCTGCGGGGCCGGGCTTCTCCCCAGGCCCCTCGGTGGTAGAGGCCGGCGCCATGTCTGCGTGGGAGCCGACCATCACACCTGGCGGGGGATTCCGGGTCAGGGGAAGGCAGGAGCTCACCCAAACACCCCACCTTCTCAACCTGGACATACATCTTTGCCCTTGAAGAGGCAGAGGGTACCTCCCCAGCCCCTCCCCCCCCCCACGGGATAGAGACACTCCCTTAGGATCAGGGCCCCCAGTGGTCCAGGTCTGCCCCAATGCAAGGCTTTAGGTGCTGAAACAGAAAGTTCTGGCAAACTGGGACGAGTGCTCACCAGCCATAGATGCTGCCCATCCCCTCCACGAGGCTACACAAGTCTGAGGAGGCTGTGCGTGGTCTTTAGGAGGTCAAGCACTTCCCTTAGGACTAAGCTCCTTCCCTCTACAGATAGGTACCATCCTTGAAGAAGGCTGGGGGTCTCTCTAGCACCCTGGCTCTGATCCTTGACCCTTCTCCCTCTAAAGTCCCATCTTCCATCCTGCCTCAACACCAGCTCCCACTGCCGTTATAACTAAAGCCCTGTGTGCATTCCACTCTCCACCCCCCCCCCACATCCTGCTTGCCTACTCCCTCTTGTGTATTAATCAAAGATCCCTAACCTCCACCAGACCCATTACAGCACTGCACCCTCCACCCCATCCACATCCTCACTTCCTGCCTGGCTACAGTCTCCCCCCCCCCCTTTTTTTTAATTTTTTAAGATTTTAATTTTTTAAAGATATATTTATTTGAGAGAGAGAGCACAAGCAGGAGGGGCAGAGGGAGAGAGAGAGAGAATCTCAAGCAGATTCCGCGCTGAGCATGGAGCCTGATGCGGGGCTCCATCTCATGACCCTGAGATCACGACCTGAGCTGAAACCAAGAGTCGGCTACTCAACCGACTGAGCCAGCCAGGCGCCCTTGGATTCAGTCTCCCTTTGCACTCACACCCATGCATCTCAAAGTTCCCTGCACTGCTCACACTGCACTTTTCTGGTCCATTCACCACACACACACCCCCACTCAA